CTACAACCCCCCGCCCACACAGCCCGGAAGACCCACACCAGCCATCGTATGCCGGCTGTGAAAGCCTTCGACAATACATCCATCACATCGTCTCAGATATATTGAACAATTGTAGAATCTGTCTTCTGGCACACGTTGGGAAGCCTTTGGCCAATTTTGTTTCCTGGCAACGGTGTGACAAACGTACACAACAAATTTGTACTGGCTCAGAAATCCCCTTAAGTCTGATAGAAGCGGGAGGAGGTCCTCTGCTTCTGCAGGAAAGACAAGGGAAGCAAACCGATGCAGCAACCAGTATTTCAGTCGTGCCTTTTGTTTTGTTTTGCCAGTGACCCTGCCGGCTACAATCATGACTTCATCTGTGCCAACCACCGTGGGAGGCCACATGATGTACCCCAGTTCTCATGCAGTGATGTATGCTCCTACGTCAGGCCTCACGGACGGTGGGCTTGCGGTTCTCAATGCCTTCTCCCAGGCCCCATCAGCAATGCAGGTTTCACACGGGCAGGTCCAGGATCAGGGTAAGACTGGACACAGATAAGTTTGATGTTTGAACAACCATACACTGCTTATTGCAGTTTGTGTTCATCTGATTTCTCTTTATCTAACTATACACAGGCATAAAGCAGCATTTGGGTCTTGAGTCTTGGGTGCTTCCAGTTCAGCACGGGGACCTCGCTGTATCTGTTAGCAGCTTTTTAAGCAATCCATGCCTTTTCCCGGGCTGCACATTAGCCATGTGAACTCAGGAAAATAAATGTTTGAGATGTACCATCTCTATAAGGACTCTTGGGCTCAAAAGAAAGTTTTACTGAGCCTAGGAGCAGGCATTGCTCTCTTCTCTGAGGAACGTAGTAGCTAAAATGTGACAAAAGTAGAAACAAGGAAGGAAAATAAAAGGAGAAAATCAAGAAAGAGGATGCATTTATTTCAGTTAGCCTGCTAAAGCTTAACTACAGATGAATATGGGAAGGGATCTGAGAGAGGATTTACATGCAGATGATGCCAGCTTCACTTAGTGGCTTTGAGTTTTAGGCAGCAAGGCCAGGAGAAGCATTTGGTTGAGGCCTCCTTCTCCTGTGTATAGTGGCCAGTGGGTTACAATGGCTCCCCGCCCCAATTTTTGCAAAAACAACCACCCTGAGACCCAAAGAGGAGGTGCTGGTCATTGCATAGGCTGCTGGGATATACATTAAAGAGGAGGGGGGTAAACAAAAATGGTTCCTAAATCACTTCAGGATCTATTCTGTCAGTGAGGGCTTTAATAATTGTTAATGGTAAGACACATATCGTATGTGCCATGAACACAATTGACATGTTTGTTGTGAATGTGAAAGGGGTTAGGCTCATACAGTGTGCTAAGGCATGAATTATTTAAACTTGGTATATTGAATTAATTCCAATTGGCTAGAATCAACCCAACATGCAGCACTAGAAATCATGCTTTATAAACCACAATGGTTGGGTTCACGTAACAGATTAAGCTTTAAAAAAAAACAATCATATTATGGTATAGCATCATATGCGAATAAAACCATGGCTTGCGTTTAATGAGTTTAATCTTGTTTTGACAGCAATGTTTCATTTTTTAATTTCCTACTGTGATTATGCCTGCATCTTTCTAGAGCAATTGTGGCTAATTTTGGAGAATGACTAGTGTACATCTATCACTTTATCTGGCAGGTGGAGTCCCTCAGGTATTCCTGACAGCTCCGTCAGGAACGGTTCAGATCCCAGTCTCAGCTGTTCAGCTTCACCAGGTAGGTACAAAACAACCTTGTATTTTTCTTTTTGACTTTTATCCTGAGACTGCAGTCAACATTTTATTGAAAATAGGGTATACTTCCAGGGGTAAGTACGGTAGAAGAATTAATTGTAATTGTGCTTATATTTATTTTGTAGCATCTGATATTTTTTTTCCTTCCTGTTGTTCATCATATCAGTATTCAAAAGAAAAGGCTGAAGCTGTAGAGTTGGGAGGCAATTTGAACCACTTTTATCCATGTTTAGCATAGATAAACATGAGCATTTCAAGCTTCAGGTCCCATTCACAGAAGTATTGTGAGCAGAATTTCATTTAGAACATGTGACTGCTAGCAGAAGCGTCTCAGTTTATTAAGAGCAGCCCCAGTCAAAATATACTGAACCTGTGAGCTTCCATGGCATGTGATGCTCATTGAAAATATAAAACATGGCTTTTTGGCATCAATATTTTTGAGCGTCCTTGGGTTTTACTAATTGTGATGCATACAGCGGGCTTTCATATGCCTTGAAAATCTGTAAGGTAGTTTTGAAATACGTGAAGTGAAGAAAGTAAGCCGTGATTGCACCTTCATGACACGCAGGACCGGAAGAATATTTTGGCTGTTCCTTTCATTGGTTCTTTTCTCTCTGCAGATGGCTGTTATTGGCCAGCAGTCCAGCAGCACTGCCAACTTGACAGAGCTGCAGGTAGTCAACTTGGAGACATCACATAGTTCCAAGAGTGACTGAGCAACTCTGGGAGGGGCCTGGCGAGGGGAGGGGAAGAAGTGTGTATCCAGCACCCCGACATGAAGCAGCAGCAGCAGCAGCAGCAGCAGCCACCGCCTCCAGCTTTATGCTGCATCTGGTCCTGGATCTATGGCACTCCTCAAACTGCACGAGGATCTCGGCAGTCCCTATTTTTGTATGGACTCCATCACTTATTTATTGTTGCCTTTTACACGTTTTCTTCTCACACTTTACACTGACACCCCCACACACAAACGCACCCACAGAAGTACATAGATGCATATTAAAAGTGGCTGCAAGGCCAGCAGCAGGAAGCTGAGCCTGGGCTGTAGGGGGACTTTGTTACATTTGAACACTGCATTTACTGTTCTTTTTGTTTGTTGTTTTGTTTTCCTCCTTGTTCCAGCCAAAGAAACTTTCTCTCGTGAGTGGGAGAATTTGATTTGCCATGTATAAAACTTTCCCTCTGTTTTCAGTGCCAGGGAGGGAGTTTTTTTCTCTCTCTGCCATGCTGCCTCTGATATGTAAGAATGTCCACGAATGTCCCTAGTTTGTAGCCTCTGGGCAGAGCAATTGAGGCTGTGGGAAGAAGCTGCAGTCCAGAAGAGTGTGAAGCTGTTTTGAAAAAGGTAGTCTCGTTTCAGTCATAGGCCTGATATCCTTAAAAATACACACACACACACACACACACACACACACACACAATGCTGGGACAGTCACCTCTCTTTCCTCTCCCCTATTCCAGTTCAGGTCACCTCTTGGCTGCAGCTTTGTGCCTTCAAGCAATCCATGATGCATTGTGGGTTGGCTTGCCTTTATTCTTGGCTGGCAAAGAGAGGGTTCTTCCTGTTGGCATTCCAACTGGGGCTGTCAGACATTGGGCAAGAAGAGGGCAGGAAGCTGAGCATCTTGGACTTCTTTTTATCCTTAAAGTGTTCCTCCCTCGGAATCTCTTTTTGTTGGATAGGAACTGACTTGGAGCAGTGTCTTGCCCATTTAGTCTGGCTGTATATGCATCTTACAGCCAAAAAAAGAATTGTTTACCCATCTCCCTCTTTTCTTGGAAATGTACTCAGCAACTCATAAGCCCAATGGCAGACTTCGCTTTGGTGATGCTTGAGTTTTGCTGATTTTTTCTTCCTGAGGAGGAAGAGCTACAGTCATGCTATTATTAATATTATATTTTAATTTTGGAAGGTATAAAGCAGCCTTCCCCAACTGGTGCTCCCCAAGATGTTTTGGGTTCCAAACTCCATATCCACTAGCTTTTGGCAATGCTGGGAATTGTCGACTAAAAAATTGGAAAAGGACTAGGTTGATGAAGGCTAGTGCTAAGGAATGAAGTTGGAAACAAATAAGGGTCTTTTAAGAAAAAAGTATTTAAACTTGACTCAGCAGGCCTTCCCAAGGCAACTGCATCCACGAATGAAACATCACCAGTCTGGGATGCAATAACGTAAGATAGCCTATGACATTTTTTGCTTCTCAAATAGCCCTGGGAATGAGATGGTATGTTGCTCCACCATCATCAGGAAAGGAAGCATCTTTGGCCTGCACCTGCGAGACCTTGCCATCTCAGAGTTCCTAGCCTGAGACTGGGTAGATGGGATGGGGCAAGCTTAATCATAGAGCATTTATGGTAAAGGCTTTTCCCATGTCTTTGTGAAGCCACTGCTGTGTCCACGTTCTTTAGAGAATGTTTTATGATGCTTCAAACAGAAAGTTCTGGAATGAACAAAAGTAACACTTTTAAAGGGGAAGTTGCAGGACTGCTAGTCTGTAATGGAGAATGGGAGGAGATGCAGGATAAGAGGAAGGGCTGTGTCATTGGATCATTTGCTTGCACACAATCATGCATTTCATTCAGCCCAGAGCAGGTCAGTGGTTCTTATAACCCCCCCTCTCCCAAAAAGGGCCAGCTTTGGATTAAGGAGGCTGCAGACTTTTAGAGAAAGAAAGCAGCTACTGTAACTCCTTTCTTTCTTTCTTTTTTAATTAAAAGACAAAAGAAGCCTTGAAAAAAAAAAGACTTTATTTTTCTAAGTGTTAAACTCAGTATTTATGTAATTCTTAAAGGAATTAAAGTCTGGCTCCTGTACAGTTTTCATGGGGTTTGTAGTTTGGGGTGGGGGGAAATGGGCCATGGGGCAGGGATGAAAAAAGGAGAAGAAAGGGGCCTTTTTAATTTGTATTGTAATATTCTGAAATTGTTTCCATGAACATTAGCGTTTAAACTCGTCTCTGTCTCTAGCACTTGAGTCACATTTTGGTGGAAAGGTTGCACCAGTGGGGAGGGGAGGGCAGGGCTTATACTAGACGTGCAAGAGCCACAGCAGCTGCATCAGCATTCCCTTTGTAGTGCCAGAGTCACACTCAGAATAGGTGGAACCAAATGTTTAGGCCTTTGTCTGGTCTTGGGGCAGAATGGAGGTCTTTAGCTGCATGCGCTCAAGGCATCCATTTGCCATCTAAAGTGGGCCATGCCCGTTCCACTTTGGGGTGCAGACATCAATATACCACACAAATCCTGGGGTGGCCATCAACCCAAACAACTTGTGTACTACTTTCCTTTCCTTTTGTTTGCAACTTCAGCTCAGATGGCTACATTATGGAAAGGAAGCCCATGCTCCCTCAAATCTGGCGTATATTTAATTCAAAGAGAAAGTTAGGGTAATTTGTTTAAAACCTTCCCTGATGGGTTACTTTTAGAGTATTTTTTGTTTTAAATGTCAGAAAACATTGAAAGGTGTATTTCCCCAACTAGTTGCAGTCTGAAAGGATATGGTCTATACAGTTCTTTTGCTTTAAATGTATATCGCAACCAATCTGCATTTACTGGTATCTCTCTGGCACTAACTTCAGTATTGAAGTTTCCAAAAGTGGTGCAAAAGCATCTCCTTGTTTTAACCCTCATTCCCTTTTAGGGTTAAATGCAGATCTTTTTTTATCTAAGCTGGTGATGGTCTATGTCATGAGACTTTTACTACCCCTCTTCATCTCTTCATTAGAGCAATGACATGAAAAAGAAAGGCAGTCATGGCAGGTAGAAAATTACTCTCCCCAGACTCCTGCCCCAGAACTTCATGGCAAAAAGATTGCTTAGTTAGCTGTCTTCTTCCATTTCAGCAATAATGGAAAAAAATAATTATTTATATTCAATATTGTTTGTTCACTGATGAATACATTTGTCAGCAGAATAAATCCTTAACAACCCTCTGTTTTCTCCCCAGTTCTGATATGGAGGATTGAAGGATTTGTCATGCAAATGGAACTTTACCAATGCATGGGTAGCTGTTCTTCTGTATGTAGATTTTTTCTCCAAGAGGGAATTTCTCAACTATTACTAAGAAGTTGCTTGAGATAAAGGCACATCTGCAGAACAGTAATTTTCAAATCATGTTGCTAATTCAAAAATCCTCTGCTAAAATAGAGACGAGGCTAAACTCAAGAATAGTTCCTATTTTTCTGATTTTGCATTCTGTACTAATTTTCTGATTGGGGGTTCTATACTTGATGCTCATCCTTCACCTCAAGGAAGTTCTCCCTCCTACAAGAAAAGCACCTGCAGGTTAAACGCTAATGTTGCATGTGATTAAAGTGTTGAATTGTAAGAACACTTATCAGGGATGAAATGGCATTTATTGTGTGGTGACATTTTTAGTTCACTTTACAGATTGTTTTTGGATTTTTTGTGTGTGTGCGCGTATGTGTGTGTGTGTGAGTGGCTGTGTGTGTGGTTTGTTAATTTCCAGGGTTGTGTTTCTGGAAGGATGTGACAGTAATCGCAGTACTATGTACAGAGCTTTCTTTTGTATTAAAAAAATAATCTTTCAATAAATGTATCATTTTGTGCACAAACCTTTGTGTCTTCAGTGTTGCTTCTGTGACCAATAACTGCCATGAGGCCTCTGGGAGTGTGCCAGTGGAGAAATATGATAAATAATTAAAGATTGGAAACAAGTAAATGCTTGCAATGATCTGTGATATTAAGGGGATGCTAATAAGAGAAGAAACAATTTCACAGTAGAGGAAGAAAAGGAGATCTGTTGAGATCTAGGCCGGAGATTTTGCCTGGCCCATGCCTGAAGCAGAGTGAGAGGAGTAGTTCAATCTATAGGTAACAGGTAAAGTCAAGCTCTACTCCTGGTAACTGTATGGATATACCCATGTTGTTTTCTTGGCAAGAATGTAGAAGTGGTTCACTATTACCCAGGAATGTTTTTCAGCTTCCCACTTCTACAGCCTTGGCGTCAGCCCTTCAAGATAGATCAAGCCAGGAAACAGACACCATAAGAACTAATGGAACTTTATGATTTCAGGATCTTGAAAGCTTGATAATGTTTCCCCCTGCCCCCTCCTAAAGCAAAAAAGAATCAAGGCAGGGTTATCATGAGTTTCTTTTTCACTCCCTCTTCCTTTCCAGATCTGTTGATATTCTTGCATTTCTTCAAGTTTAGCTATGTACTCCTCCACATCATCTCCCCGGTCAGATTCACTCTCTCTTCCTGCACATGAAGAAGACGCTGCCAAGTTGCTATGGGAACCAACTACAGACTCACTCCCCCCTCTGCTTGCTTGGCAGCCCCCTCACCCCAGGTCACCAGAGGAATCTTGCCACACACAGACAGAACTGGAAAATCTCCCCGTCCACTGGAAAATCCCCCCTCCCTGTCCATTGATAGCAGTGGTAGATTACAGGGATAGAGTATGTGCGGGAATTTCAGATGAAACCAATGTACAAGACATGGAGTGTGGACATCTGTTGCACTCTCCCATGACCTTTCAGATTCAGGGTAGTGAATCAGATATTCAAACATCTCCAGAACACATTCCACTTCATATTCGTCCCTGTCCATCATGATGGGGGGAGAAGGGGAAGGAACAGTTTTAGAATGCAAGGGGCATGGGGGCTCTTCATGAACAAGCAGTGCCCAATGAAAGACCAGATGAATCCTCATAGAAGCAGGTAATTACAAATGAAAGGCCACTGAATTAATTTGCTAGGCAGTGAAAGGAATCAATAAGCTTAAGAGTCCAGCTGTTTAGATGGACAGATGGAAAATAAAACAGTGGAAAGTGACACCAAATCCCCTCCTGTGGTCTTGGTGCTCTCTTGCTTGCGTGTGTCTGGCCTGCTTGTATGCAGCTTTTGTCACATCTAGTTGTTCCTTTAAGATAGGCAGCCTGTCTCTCCACAGAAAGTCCAAGTCACAACAACAGAGGCTGGAGTTCTGGAAGGCAAAATGTAGAGGTGGTAGCAATAGGCTGCCTGAAAGGAGACGTGCCTATGGAGGGATGTAGAGTTGTTATACCCAAATTCTGAAGAGGCAACAGTTCAGTCCAATTGTCCTGCTAATCAGAGATACAGCATATTAAATACTGTTCTAATATTTGATTCATCCTCTCCATTTGCCCAAGTATAACTGGAAATCTATTAGCGTAGGGTATATAATAACAGAATCTAGAAAACCTGATGGTTTCCCTGTGCCCCCTCTTATACCAAACAGAATGAAAGGTTTATCTTGGGGTTCATTCTCACTCCCTCTTCCTTCCTGGGGCTAAGCTGATGTTTATCTAACCATTCTTGTATTCCTTCTTCAAGGTTATCTCCTTGCTCCTTTACACTTGGGGTTTCTTGGTGGGTTCCCATCTGTGTACTAATCAGGGCCACTCTGCTTAGCTTTTACTAGAACAAATAAGATTGGCTAGATGCCATCACCTGCTATAACTTCAGTTTGCAAATGAGAGGTATAAAGCAAAACCAATTTCCTCCCCATTTTTTCATTTGGGGGACAAGTGCAAATCATGTTTTAGGGTGATAACTACTTAAACAATTCTATCTCTCCTCCCACATTCTAAGTGATACAATCCATCCTGCTTCACTAAGTCTAGCATCTAACTGCAATCTCATTCTGATGCAGATAGAGATTATAATTCCCCTGAGAAATTACCTTGCACTTATTCAAAAACACATGGAATAAGAAAAGAATGGGTAGAGGTTGGACCCACTCTCAAGGTCTCTGTCTCCTTGGCCACATCTCCAGGCATCATATTCTTTGAATGCATGAAAGGGATTAATGCTTCAGCATTCTGTGCCAGTAGAACAGGGGAGACAACAAAATTAAGGATGCAAAAATCTAAATAGTAGAAATTATGGCACATCTATGTTATGTTGGAAAATGTGTCTATTGGCCTGACAAATATATAGAAATGAAAATATTTACTAGAGTATTAGTAGATAAGGGAACATTTCTTTCCCAGGAATTTTTCTCTGATTAATGGATTTCCCAAAGGGAAATCTCCCAATCAGGCAATAAACACTATACATTGGCCAGATGTAAAAGAGGACAAAGTTCCTGTGTCTTTATAATTAGTTAGAAAAACAAGCCCCAGTAAATATAGCTTGCCATATAAGCTGAAATTCCCATTCTGTACAACTAGTAAATGCACAAGGGCCTTTATTTTAATCTAGCAATTGTCAAAATTGTACTACCTTGGAATACTTCAAGCTTTTAGCTATCATAGACTGCCTCTTTTTCTGGGGATGACAGATTTGGTGAGTTGATCATTATTTCTAGTTGAAATAATGGACATAGTTGAATCTGGCTGATTATGGTTAGGTTCTATTTAGGACATGTGAGTAAGGGTTTGTTTATTAGTTTACATTCACATCTCTCTCTCTAAGGCATGGTTTACTTAGCTGTGTTTTCTTTAGGAAGCCACAATTGGCTTCACATCTTTATAAACTGTAAGGGCTGGATTCATTTATTGATTTTTGATTATCAAATTGATGTTGACTCTTTTCAACCACACACATAGACCTTCTCCATGATGACCTGCCCCCAACTTGGTCCTTTAGGTCTTCCACTGATGCATCCATTACCACTGTAATTGAGACCATCCACATAGTTGCCAGTTGTTCTCTTTCCTTCTACTTTTCACAGCATTATGGATTTTTCAAGGGAGCTGGGTCTTCATATAATGTGTCCAAAATATGGTAATTTGAGCATGGTCATTTGTGCCTCAGGTGAGAACTCTAAATTAATTTGTTCTATGATCCATTTGTTGTTTTCTTGGCTATCCAAGAAACTCTTGGATTTCTCTTGGGGTTCTCAAGAGTCTTCTCCAATACCAAAATTCAAAAGTGTCAATATTTCTATCCTGCTTCTTCAAAGTCCAACTTTCATTTCCATTGCCTGCACAAGTCTGATTTGTGTAGTCTTTTCCAGGGCTTTCATTATTACTCCATCAAGTGCTAATCTGTGGCATATTTCTTGAAAGCTGGTTCCTTTACTGTTGATATCCAATCCTAAAAGGCAGAAGCTACCCACCGCTTCAGTGAAGATTGGTAATTGGTTGGTGTACTTGTTGTCATAGTTTGTAATTAGGAAAGAACCCTACGATTCAGTGGTTTACTGTCCATCTAAACCTGCATAACGAAGGACACATCCTTCAACACAGTGTTCCACAAATATCTTATCTCAAGCACCCACCAGTCTAACTTCTCTAGGTATTGGACATTAGCCACTAATTAATTATAATAATAAATGATGGAAATAAATGATACTTAGGAATTCTTGACAACAGCCAACAGCATTTACTAGCAATTACTTTGGTGCATCCAAGACTGTTGAAACATAAAGCAAGGATAAAGAAAACTAGCGTGATTTGCATTTCCCTCTTTTATTTAGAACAGTGGATTGGGATTCTTCTGTTGAGACCTGACAAAGAAGGGAAGAGCACATTTTGTAGCTCTTGTTCTTTGTTTTCCACTTTCTCTGTAATCTAGGAAACTGCTTTAAAATAAATATTCTCATCTGTCAATTTATACGCATATTGGTTGGTATTATATGTTACGAACTTTATAGTTCAAAGGTTCCATATTTTATATTATGACATGATTAAGTACAATGTAATGTTTCAATAGTTATTCTGTATCGGTACTGCGTTTACGTGCAATAATAGCAAAATTAATAAAACAGCTACTGCAGACTGTCAACCACACGGCCTTTTTCAACTGCCACTCGCGGCGGGCGGGCGCGCACGCTCCTCAGGCCGTGTACCACTGCAGCAACAGTAGCCCAGGAGAGCGCGATCAAGGCGCTTCGTGGAAGAAATGAGTCACCAAGACCAACTTCCCTCTCCCTGCCAGCCCCGAGCCTTTAACGGCTTCCAAAATGTCCCTCGCCAGGATCCGTAGAACGGCCGATAGAAAAAAGTCTAAAGAGTCGGATCTGTGCACGCACGGGGCTGTTGCGCATGCGTTCTAATCACCCGGAACTTGCGGAGCGGCTGAAGTGGCCGGGAGAAGGAGCAGGCGGAGGAGGGAGAGGCGTGCTGCTGCCCTGAGTAGTTGGGTAGGTAGTTGGGTCTCACCAGGAATGGCTCCCTTTCCTTCCCCGGCTTTCATTTCTTCCCACTGCTTACTTCTAAGATGGTCTCCGCTCGGCGACCTTCAGGGTTAGACAAACAGAACAGTTCCTCGCTATATAGCCGAGGGTGGTAGTGGTGCTTTTCCGTCTCCCGCTTTTTCCGCCCTTTTTTTCCCCTTCCTTCTTCCATTAAAGGGTGTGTGTGTGAACACGGGGCTTAAGTACGGTATTGCTTGCGCGGAGAAAGCTTAACAGTTTTCCCCTGATAACGAACGTGGGCTGGGGATTTTTCTCAATGAAGGAGTAAAATGGGAGCGTGTTGAAGGTTTCCACTCAAAACGAAAGAGCGAAAGTTTTTTTTTTAAAGTATACATTTTCCTGCTTCATCTAATGAGTCAGAATTTATTTCCTAGTCTGCATGCCCACGTTGCCTCTACTGTTAATCTGGAAACACTTCTACTAGCAAAAGAGAGGGAAAAAAGGAGACCCAGTTTGGTCTGGTGGTTAAGGCACCGGGCTAGAAAACAGGAGACTCTGAGTTCTAGTCCTGCCTTAGGCATATGAAAGCTGGCTGGGGGACTTTGGGCCAGTCATTCTCACTCAGCCCAGTTCACCTCACAGGGTGGTTGTTGTGGGGAAAATAGGAGGAAGGAGTATTAGGTATGTTTGCCACCTTGAGTTATTTATAAAAATAATAAGGGTGGGATTTGAAAAAATCTGAAGTCTAAAAAAGAGTTGGGCATGCTGATATTGATTAGGACTTCCTTAAAGTTTTTCAGTTGGATGAAGATTTTAAGAACAAAAAGGCATAATCAACTAACATCTGAACTGAAATAAAAATGATAGTGGAATTTTGAGAGCTTTGAAAGGAAGAACGATTTCCATTAGTGCCCAATTTTTTTAATATGAAAGCCTTCCAATTACTACTGGATCTGGAGGAAAAGGAAGGAGAAGAAAGCTGGGTTACAGTATTACTGATGTAAAAATAGAGTAAGAAGGGGAAAAAATGCATCCCTGCTCATCCCCATGTTCATCCAATTTTTTTCCATCAGTGTTCCAGTGGAATCAATATGTATTTGCATACTTGATTCCTTATACAGTTTGTAATAAAAAAACAGCCCATCAATGGTTGTGGCTAACAGTTTTGTTTTTTTTATATAATTAGTTGTGTTTACCAGGTCAGAGGCAAAAAAAAAAAAGGATAAATAGATGTTGCATAAAGACTCATAGAATGGTTTTCTATTCACTTTGGTTTCAGATGATATAAAGCGCTGATTGAATGTGCTAAAACCTTTTCTGAATCCAGGCTGCTGTGAGTGGAGGATATGGTTTATTTCCTTCCAGCCATGAGTCTTTCTAAACTATATTTCTTATATAATTTGCTGTACTATTCAAATGAATAGGCCAATAGTTGGCAGGATCTGTTTTCTCTCCTTTCTTGTAGGTGGGTATCGCTATTTAATCCATTGCATTAATATGAGAAAATAAGGCAGTCAGCCATGAAGCCCACCAGTTTGAGAAGGGTTTAAATACTTCTGCTGGTAATATATCTTCCCCTGTGTTTTAATCTCTGCCTGTTGTTCAGTGATCCTTTTAATTTCCTCTGCTGCAATCAGGGGCCACTCTGTTGCTATTTTTAACAACTCCAGTTTCCCCTGTTCCTGAATATTCTCCATCCAATCTACAAAGATTTATTGAAAGTGCAAAACACATCTGGCAAAGATAATCTCTTCTTAAATTAGGTTTCAGCCTTCCCTAGATCCCAAAACCTGTTTTAATCAAGTTTATCACATGCTGTCTCTAATTCCTGCCAGTGATAAACTTTGTATTCCTGCTTTTTTAAAATAGTTTTTTATTGACTCAGTTTTGTCTACCATCTCCAGCACCAAGAGTGCCTTACTGAGAATCTTTGCTTTCCTTTAGAATTAATCAGTTCTCTCTTGGTCAAGCCAAATGTCTCTCTCTCAATAGACTTTCGGAATTTGAGCTAGTTTACATGAATGGAGTTTAAATCATTTAGTACCTAATCATAGATATCCTTATCCTGTACGTATAACCATCTCTGTACTTTTCATTTTTTTCTGATACTGTCTTATTCCTTCTATGGTTTGATTCAATGGTATTCCAAATTTCTGATTCTTTCTGAGCTGTAGGATTAAGGGAAGGTGATCACTCTCTGTTGAAGCTCAAACTTCAAACTGGACTAAGGGATAAAAGTATGGGATACGAATTTGCAGCACAAAATTTGCTTTCTAGTCTTATGAACTACCATGCCCACCAGTTCTCCCCAGACTTTAAGGAGCACCAATCTTACATTCCAATGGTGGTAGAAGTCATTATTTCTTCTTCTATGTTAATCTATCTTTCATATTAAGTGCCACTTCTTCATTAAGTTTAGTGCTGAATATTCCTCTCTGTCAGCTGGAACTATCCAACAAATACTGTAGCAGTACTGTATACTTTTTTCCCTTCATGCCCCATAATTAGGATACGTCTTTGTCTGTCAGAGTGGCAGAAGACAAAATCTACAATTTAACTGTCTAAAACAGTGGTTCTTAAACTGACCCAATCACCCCTTTTCCCCATCTTAAATAATGTCATTATCTTCACAAAAAACAAACCAGACTGTTGTTTTACACAAGTGTCTCGGCAGCAGCAGTCCCAAATAGGATCCTAAACTCCCAATCAAGCAATTACAAATTGTTCCATTACCTCCAGGATATGCCCAAATTACCCCCTTGGAGTAATTACCGTGGTTTAAAAAACACTGCTCTAAAATGAAGCCAGAGTGAAACCAAGAAAACAGTCAAACAATGTGATACCCTGCCAAACTGCTCTTCATTGTTCCTCCTGGGGGTGTCCAAGCAGGGGTCTGCTTAACTTTAACACCTTCATGGTATTTCAAGTTTTTCTTTCCTTTAAGGGGTTCTTTTTCTTTTTTGGTCCTTTTCTTAAATACCAAGTCACTGTTGTTAAATTCCACTTGCCTTGGTTGACTTAGCAGTGAAAGTAAAAATACATATTCTGGGTGGATCTATGACCTCTATGGAGATAGCAGAAGAAGCAGGGTAAAACTCACTCAAATAAAAAAAGGAAATGGGAGGAATCCAGGCTAAACATAAATTGCCACATCAAAATGAGAAAAATAAAAGAGCTCCTATTACTGTACACGACTTCCTCAGTGCCATTTTACTGGAAGTTCTCAAATTTACCTTCAACTTTTGAAGTTGCTATATATTTTCTAATAATAACAACCTAAAATTAAATGAAATTTAAATGATGAGGAGAAAGGCTTAGGAAGAATTGCCTTCATACAATTGTGAACTTTCTTGGAAGAAAGTAACAATGAGATTTCTGAGTGAGGGTAACAGTTGCTGTTACTGTTGATTATGGCAAACATTTCTTAGAAAAATCATTGAATGCAAAATTGCTGGTCACTCTAGAGCTCCAGGACAGAGATTTAAAAAATATCATCAGCTTGTTTAGAGCAAAGTGTTTATATAAGAGAAAAGTTTGAGAAATCTGGTAGGTAATGTCTGTTTAATCAGAAGTGGTGCCTCTGATGTGGTTTGTAGTAAAGTTACTTGTGCATTTGAAACAGATTTATTTTATTTTTATATATTTATATATCAACTTTGCCACTGCCCATCTCGTTAAAAAGCGACTCAATGCTTCTGAATATGTCAAGTGAGTGCTAATTATTTGGAGATTCCTTGCCTGGTTTTCTGGGTACTTCTCAAGAACCTGACTTCTTACACTCCTTTTTCATAGATGTATTTTCCATCATGGTGGGTGAAAGAAGGAATGGAAACCTTGGGCCAAAACTACAAGCCTATCCTGAGGAGCTAATCCGCCAACGTCGTGGACATGATGGACATACTGAATATCTGATTCGCTGGAGCATCCTTAGTTTGGATGACAGTGTAGAAAATACCACCCATGCTGCTTCAACTGAGAACAAAATGGATAACATTCTTATGTGGATGTCAGCAGAAGAAGTTTATGCTAATTGCCCCACACTATTGGGCAAGAGGAAGCCTGAGGGGCAACGAGTAAAGGAGGAGAAGTCACCTAACGCATTCCCACCTGATGTCACAGTGGATGAAGCTTCCCTGCATGAAATGAAGGCTGATGTCAGAAACCTGGTACAGCGTGCTAATCGACAGATGGCCAGGACAAGTGGTCCGGAATCCTCCATCCTTAATACTGTCCATGTGCTCAGTGCTTATGCCAGCATTGGCTCATTGACAGGTGTCTTTAAGGAAACAGGTGCTCTGGATCTGCTGATGAAGATGTTATGTAATGAGGAGAAGCAAATCCGTCGTAGTGCAGGCAAGATGCTGAGAGCTTTGGCTTCTCATGATGCAGGTGAGGTTGCCTGTTGAGGTATGGTGTGAGCTTTCCTGGTGTAATTCAGTCTGTTTATGGGCCTTATTGCCATAGTTGAGAAGCAAATCCGTCGTAGTGCAGGCAAGATGCTGAGAGCTTTGGCTTCTCATGATGCAGGTGAGGTTGCCTGTTGAGGTATGGTGTGAGCTTTCCTGGTGTAATTCAGTCTGTTTATGGGCCTTATTGCCATAGTTGAGAGATATAGCAAGGCATATTATCCTGGGGAGAATCAAGACTTTTCCTACTTAGCATGCATTTCCACTCTGCTAATAAAAAAGTTCATTTTTTTTCTTCCTTTATAGCAGTAAAGAGTACAGAGTAACTGTCAGTGAGTTCTTTGCTGCTATCTGCTCTGTAAGGTTTTTTTTTTTTTTTTTTTGGTTCCTTCAAGTCAGTCTTGACTCCTGGTGTCTGCCTGGACAAGTCCCTGCAGTTTTCTTGGCAAGAATTCAGAAGTTGTTTACCCTTGCCTTCTTCCTAGGGCCGAGACAGAGTGTGACTGGCCCAAAGTCACCCAGCTGGCTTTGTGCCTTAGATGGGATTAGAACTCACGGTCTCCCAGTTTCTAGCCTGATGCCTTAACCACTACACCAAACTGGTTCCCTGCTCTATAAGTACAGTGGGGCAAAAAAGTATTTAGTCAGCCACCAATTGTGCAAGTTCTCCCACTTAAAAAGATGAGAGA